TAGCGCCAACTCCAAAGAGCACTATACCACAGCGCTGTCTGGTAGTCACAGTCTAGAAATGTTGGAGGAAATGTATCACTGTGGAGGCAGGCTTTGAGGTCTCCTATATTCAAGCCATGCCAAATGTGACACGGAGTGCCTTCTGCTGCCTGCAGATCAAGATGTAGAGCTCTCTGCTCCTTTTCCAGCTCCATGTCTGCACACTGTCATGCTTCCTGCCATGCTGATAATGGACTAAACCTCTGAAACTAATCCAGCCCCAATTAAATGTTTTTCTTTACAAGAGTTGCCATAGTCACAATGATAAAACTCTAACAAAGAAGACACTACATAAACATCTGCTCACCTCAGAAAGGAAAACAAGGACAGACCAAAGACGGCCATCTCCAAAGTCCAACATGGAGGGGGGAAAGTTTATTGGGGTTACATACGGAAGGGGTACTTCAAGAGCATAGATGACTCAAAGGCAGCTGCATTCCAAAAGCCCACCCAAGCGTAGGTGATGATGACTCAGGAAGGCCACGACCTTGGAGCTCACTGCTTGACTCAGAGGCAGCTTGACAGGTCAAACAGTGACTTCAAGGCAGCTCGGCTGACCTGGCCTGGGCTGAGTCTCCTCGGTGGGTATTATAGCTTATATGATCTTGGGGAGGGAGGGACTTTACAGGGTCTCCTGACTACCCCCATCTTAGAAAAACCTCTGTCGGGCATGGTGCAGGGTGCTAGGCCCACAACAGGAGGGTAAAGGCTGCTGCTATTCCAGGAGACCTTGGGAAATGTGTAGTGTGCTGTGCCTGTCCCCTGCCCTTCCCATCCTGATTACCAGCACCCAGTGGAACTTTCCTCTTGGGAAACTGGGCAGTCAGCAGCCCTGCAATTTTATACAGGCTCATGTTTGGATCACCTTATGTTCTCTCTTCCCCAGCTTCCCTCCTCGTGTGTGTGTGTGTGTGTGTGTGTGTGTGTGTGTGTGTGTGTGTGTGTTTGACATATGCATGTGTCCACATGTGGACATAGCTACGTGTTCCTATATGCGCACAAGTGGAGGTCAGAGGTCAGTACCGAGTATTTTCCTCCCTCATTCCCCACTTCATTTTTTGAGAAAAGCTCTCTCACGGAACCTGAGATTCCAGTTCCAGCTACCCTGGCTGGCCTAGCCACTGGGCGTCCAGGATCTGCCTGACTACCCAGTCCCTCACACCTGCATTGCTGGTTTACAGGCATGCGCTGATGTACCCTGCCTTTACATGAATACTGGGAATCTTAACTCATGCCCTCATGCTTGCACAGCAGGACTTTACCTACACGGAGCCACCTCCCCAGCTACAATCCACCTTATTTTCTTTTTTGTTGCCATGTTAGGAATGATGAAGGGTCCCCTCTGCCATTGATCTAGACCCCTATCCTGATTCACAATCTGGTAATGACATTTCAGTTTGCTCATATTTGCAGAAAAGTATCTCCTGGATGTTAGATCCTCTGGACTCCCCAGGCATGTGTACCTCATGAGGGGCGAGATTGTATGCAAGATTGTATTAAGGGGGCATTGTGTAGACTCAAATGAGACTCATGCCTGCCTCTGGCCTCATGATGCTTGCTTAGCCACATGTGCCCATGTTACAGGTAGTTCTCAGGCCTGCTTGCTCTGCATAGTTCTCCTAAGCATGCACATCTGAGACTTAGTGACAGTGCTGATGGGCACCTATTCCATCCTGCCACTTACCACACCTGTGCTGTAGATACACAGAAGCAGAGGGAGCTTGCTCACTGGAGAGGAGCTCGGGAACCCCACGGGCTGGATCTCATTGGAAACCCTGGCCTTGTGGCCCATTGAGGTTTCTAAACCCCCAGAAAGTAAGATTGGGCCCAGACAAAGAAAGTCCAACATTCAGCCAGATCTAGGCCCTGAAGCCAAATGGAGAAAACCCTGGTGAGCTTGTAGCACTCATATCCTGCTATATATCTCCAATTCCTCGTCCGTGAGGTCTGGGATTCCAGAGCACCCAGAGCAAACGAGGCCACACACAGAATCTGCAGGCCCTCGTCTGGCACACGTGAATGAATATCCGGGGGATGATGGTGGCTGTAGCCATTGTTGTGGGGATATTTATGGAGATCTAGAAGGCCATAGGTTTCTTAGAGCAGCCACTGCCTCAACCCCTGGTAACGACCTTCCAGCCTGAATCCTATGGTCAGCGATCAGATTTCTATCGACAAGAGGTGTGGAGGCTTGTGAGTTGGGGAGGTAGATGAAGCCCATGTCTTTTTCTTCCACTTCAAGAACGTGGGATACTTGATTCCCACGTTCCAGCCCAGACGGTACCTGGGAGAGTGCCAAGGGCAGGGTTCACTTGGGAACGATTTGTTGTACTTCATTTAGTGAAAGCCCATAACAAGAAGCTGTTCGGAACCAGCCTTCGCTGGCTCTCCTTAGGGAGCCTTGCCTCCCTATGCCACGGTGACAGGGAGTCCTAAGACACCCAGAAAGGCCTGGAATGGGCTTGCTTGTTCCATTGTCTCCGGAAGAAGTAAGTCCCCGTGGCTTCATTCAATGTGACATTCAGGTCTTTCCTGAACCCAGTCATCACTACCTTACTCAATCAAGCAGCCAAACCAGTGGGATCACAAGGGTCTCACAAACATGTGAGCGCACACACATATAAGGTGTTCCTTCCCTTTTGCCTGGCTGGTGGCAGGCAAGGACCCCTCCACTCCTATAACAGCAGGATTTGCAACCTTGGCTGTTACAAGGTTGAGAGACCTATAGTTCAGTGACACAGACACATGGATACACACACACAGGATCATATAATCACACCTGGAGAATAGCAACCACACACATTCATGCACACAAAGAGTCATACAGAGAACAACAGTCTCATCTATCAGGATCAGTCAGTTTTGCAAATACTGTACCAATAAAATTCCTTCCCTGAGGGAGGGATATGAAGAGTTGTTGATTGATTAAATATCTGAATGAGCTAATGGTGAGACAAAGCTATATTATATAAATGCAGACTTATTGGGAGCAGCGAGGGAGGGGGAGAGACAGAGAAAAAGACAGAGAGGAGGATGGGGGGAAAGGAAGGGCTGAGAGAAGGAAGGGCAAGAGGAACCAAAATGTCTGCAGTATACAGTGAAGGCCTCTGGGAGAGAGAAAGCCCCGCCCCTCGGTAGAGGGCAGGGTGTGCCAGCCACGCCCTATCTCAGGGACCTAATCTCTCCTCATAAAGTCCCAATGACAAACCAAAGTAGATTCCCATCACAATTCCCATCCCTGGGAAACTAATTAACCTATATGGTTCACCTACAGAGCGTGGGTGAGGGGTTATTGGCAGAAACATGAGTGACTTGAAAGCAGGATGCTGGAAAGTCTTACCCAGCATGGATGACGGCTTCCTCACAGCTCAGCTGCACAGACAAGACTCCCTTGTCCTAGTTGTCTCCAGCCTATAGACTCTTCCCCATCTCCAAGACTACCAAGGCCGTGAGCAATCGGGAAAATGGCATACAAGTAGCTGGAAGAAGTGGCTGGGCAGGCAGATGACAGCCTCTTGACCCTCCCCACTGCCTTCTTGTTGTCTGCAGTCAACAGGCAGCTTGCTGATGGACACTCGCCAGTAGGCACAGATCTCATGAAGGTGGTAGCAGTTCAGCTTGAAGGACAGTGCCTGTGTAAGTTAGGGCTTCTATGGCTGTGATAACCAAAAGCAATTTGGAAAGAAAGGAGTTTATTTAAGCTTACAGATCTCAGGTCACACTCCGTCACTGAGGGAAAGCAGAGCAGGAAATCAAGGCAGGAACTGAAGCAGAGGCCACAGGGGAACATTGCCTACTGGTGTTCTCTCTATGCCTTGCTCAGCCTGCTTCTTTATACAAGTCAGGACCACCTACCCAGGGGTGGCACCTTTCTCCACCCACTGTGGGCTGAGCCTGCCCACATCAATCATGAACCAAGAGGAAGCTCCACAGGCTTGCCTACAGGCAATCTGGATGAAGGCGTTTTCTCAACTGAGGTTCCTCTTCCCAGATAACTCTAGCTTGTGTCAAGGTGACAAAACAACAAACAACAACAACAAAACAAAACAAAAAAACCCAACAACCATGACAGCACCTTCCATCACTCTGTAGGTCAGAGTCATGTGTACACAGTCACTGACACATAGACAGGGTCACACACAGCCCCTGAGAACAGCACACACATAGAGTGTTATACACACTTACTAAAAAGGAGCGACACACACATATGGACAACCCATGCCTATCAGCTGCACGCCACGCCATACTGGGTGTCATGGATTCCACTGCTCCTCCGTGGACTGTCTCCACAGAAGTCAGGAGGCTTAGAGCTGGTAAGAGGGTTCAAGGGGGGAAAGTCCCATGCTGCCAAGTCTGGAGACCTGAGTACAATCCCTAGGACCCACATTGTGGGGAGAGAATCAATTCTTGCAAGTCAGCCTCTTACATCCACACGCGTTACATACACATGCTAACTCTCACACACTCACTAAATCAACCAACCAATCAACCATCCATCCATCCAGCCATCCAGCCATCCATCCATCCATCCATCCATCCAGCCAGCCAGCCAGCCAACCAACCAGTAAATAAATAAGTATGAAAGAAGTCAGAGGACTTTGCCTAAGCAAGCAAGCATGTCTCTCTCAGATCCTGGCCTACTTGTTACAGAGTCATGTAGGTGACCAGCTCAGTGGGAACTTTTGGTAGGCTGACAACAGGAGCAATAATGGGCACAGGGCTTGTCAGCTTGGTCCCCAGTCTTATGGCCTAAGACAATTGGCACCTCACCCCAAATAGCTGGACTTCTGGGTCTGGCCGTGAACTATCTAGGATCCTCCCCTGTTAGAGCCAGGGCTCTGCCTTTAGGGCCTGCAAGTCAGCCCCTTGCATCCAAGGAGGAGGGAAAGGACTGATTTGCCTCTAGCTACATAGGCTGAGTCACAGCTGGGTCCCCTGACAGCCTTTTTTTGTACCCACAGGAGCTACGGGGAGCTAACTTTCTGCACCAAGCACGTGGCAGACGAGATTGGCTGTTTCTGGCCCAATCCGGAGCTGGACAAATTCTTCATTGCTGTCCACCATCACTACTTCAGCAACTGCCCCGTCTCTGGCAGGGCCCTGCAGGACCCGCCCAACAGCATTCTCTGCCCTTTCATCATGCTCCCCATCACAGTCACGCTGCTCATGACCGCACTGGTGGTCTGGAGGAGCAAGCACACTGAGGGCATCGTGTAGGTGTCCCAGGCAATGGGGGGGGCACTTGGGGAGAAATGGGCCTGGTCCAGCAACAGCATCAGGGGCTGATAGCAAAGCAGGCCCCACATTGCATCCTGCTCTAGCCTAGTTAGCACAGGACTTCAGAGTGGCTCTGCATTAAGCTGAACATGTCCCAGCTGGAGGCCTCTAGCAGGGGAACAGGGGCATGCCTCTACTTACCTCTGAAAGAGTTCTAAGTGCCAGTTCTCTAGTATACTTCATCATTACTGTGGACATTCTGACCTCCAAGCAAGACTGCTCAGATGGGTGTGTAGATGCATAGTTTATGATTAAAAGAATATCCTTAAACTGGGGAAGTGTTCCAATAATCCATATGGGGAGGCAGAGAGTGGGAGAAAACAAAGCCACACCTACAGACCTGTCTTTTGCTGGTGGGAGTTTATCTCGGGGCCTCTGACCAGGTGATATTCAGTCAAAGGTCCCCGTGTGTGCTCAGGGTTCCAAAGTGATTCTGTGCCCTTGGCCTGTACTACACAACCCCCTGCTTTCTTCGGTTTTCCAAGACAGGGTTCTCTCTGCAGCTCTGCCCATCCTGGAACTCACTCTGTAGATCAGGCCTCATAGAGATCCACCTGCCTCTGCCTCCTGAGTGCTGGGACTAAAGATGTGTGCCACCACTGACCGGCACAATCCCTGCTTTTAGTATAAATTCAAGACTATCAAGAACACCTACCATAAGCCAGAACCATGTGACACATAGATTCATGTGACTGAGCGACATGTGGGGAAAGTGATGTCCCTTTCTCCCCTTCCCTAAAGGATGCTTTGGTCATCCTACCTTCCCTGGGAAACCCCAATACACAGCATAAGTGAATACCAAGAAATGCCAGGGTGTGACCTCCTGTTCCCTTCAGCACTGCCCTTTCGGTCCCTGGGCGGCCAAGACAGCAGTGACAGCATTAATTTGAAAAATAAGATTGAGCTGTGGCAGTGCCTACTTGAATCAGCACTTTGGGCTGTTGAGGTAGGAGGATTGCTGTGCGTTTGAGGTCAACCTAGGCTACAAGGAGACCCCTGTTCAAAAAAAAGGGGTGAAGCAAGAAGGAAGAGGAGGAGCGATGGACAGAAGAAAAAGGCAAAGAACAGCAAGATTGGACTCATTTGTGATCTGAACTGGAAACCAGCCCGCCTTCCAGGGCTTTGACATGGAAAGCCACAAGGAGGGGAAAAACGAGGCTCTGAAAGTCACAGAATGGAAAAGCAGCAAGAGAACCAGGAAGCTCAGCTTGGGAGATGACACTGACCCAGTGATTCCTTCCCTGAGCTGCTCAGGGAGTGAGCTCTCAGGGTTTCCAGAAAACCAAAGCCTGCCCTCTGTGCAGCTAAGCAGGGGCAGGCAGGGAGGTCCTGAGCCCAGGACCCCTCGCACATCAGCATTCTAGGGACTCCAGTGGATCTTGATCCGTTCATCAAAAAGAGCATGAGTGGTACCCTCCTGAGGACAAGTCAGAAGTGTAGACCAAGAGTCTGGAGTGTGTGTTCAAAGTGATTTCTCTCCTAGGAACTCATCCCAAGGACGTAATTAACATGTGCATAAGGGCCTGTGGGGACCACAAGTGAACGGAAGAGAGGAGACACCCTCCGTGGCCTCACAGGAAGACCACTCCATCAGATTAACTCCAGATGACAGAAGACAACTGTTTCCTTAAATGACGTCCATGGAGTGTTTCTCATCACTTGGAGTTCATTAAGAAAAAATGCAGATTTTTTTTAAACAGGAAATCAAGGTGACCTCTATGTTGGGTTTGTTTACACACTTAGTCCCTGTCCTAAACCACATTATGCTGTGGAAAGCTCATGTAATAGGCCTCCCAGGAGACACAATAATGCACTCAGGTCCATATCTGGATATCACCATCTCAGCTGCTGGACCTCACTTCCTGGTGAAGGATGATATGGTCAAACTCCAACTGTCCGTTGTAGCTGTGTAAACTTGAAAACCTAATTCATCTCGGGAGCCCTGGGGGAGATGACCTGGCATGCGAGCACCGTCTGCCTTATCCAAAGGATCGTATTTGCTCTCCTGAAAGACCAAGTGGCCAGTCAGAAAAGCCCCATCCTTATGGCCAGGCAGGACGCGTGATTCCCAAGGAAAGACTGGCAGCTGAGCTAGGAGAAGCAGTAAGACTCACCCTCCCCCTTCTTTTCTCAAGACAGGGTTTCTTTGTGTAGTCCTGGCTGTCCTGGAACTGGCTCTGAGAACTAGCTCTGTAGACCAGTCCTTGAACTCACAGAGATCCGTCTGCCTCTGCCCCCTGGGTGTGAAACACACTTTTAAAAAGAATTCAAAAAATGTGTGTGTATGTGCGTGAACATTTGGCCTGCAAATATGTATGTGCGCCATGCGCATGCCTGATGCCATTGGAGGCCAGAAGTAGCTTTCAGCTCTCTGGAGGTCACAGATGCTTGTGAGCTGCCATGAGGGTGCTGGGAACTGAACCCAGCGCTCTGCAGGAGCAGCAAGAGCTTTTAACCGAGCCACCTCTCCAGCTCTGAGACGCTTTTCTCTGGCTCGCCTGCGTGGTGAGCACGAGAAGACCTGCAGCACAGCACTTTTTAAAGCTGTTCAGAAAAGCGAACTCTGTAGGGGAGTAAGCCTAGACGGGCCAAGGGATTGCCAACGTTACTGCATCTATTCACAAGTGTTAGAAAGTTCCTGAAAGAGGTGACTCTCAAAATGATTCCTCTTCCTGAACCCAGCCCAGTCACACCTCCCGCCTGGCCACATACCATGCAGGACTTTCTCCAACACACTGGCAAGAAGCTGAGGAAACTTGTTCCCTGATCACTGCTGATATTAGGGCATGAGGCGGGCAGGAGTTCCTAGAGGTCCAGGGCAGGTGGCGACTGCTGTTCATGGTCAGTACAGGCTCTTGTGATAATATCCGCACTCTACACAGGCTCATCCCATCCAAGGCACAGAAAGATACGGAGGTCCACATTAAAAAAAAAAAAAAAGACAGGAGATGGTTCAGTTGGTCAAGTGCCATGCAAACGTAATCCCATCACATTAAAAAAAAAAAAAAAAAAAAAAAAAAGAACCCACTGGTAATCCCTGTGCTGGGAAGGAAGGAACAGGTGACTTTTGGGTACCTGGCCAGCGAGCCAACCCAGACCAATGAGACTTCCATGTGCATATCTGTTGCCCCATCCCCCACAAATGCAAAGTTGGCACGTACAAATGAGGATAGTGAAGTGCCTGGATCGAGTCAGATGCCAGCTCCACCAGTGGGGAGGCACGCCAGTGGCTTGCTGCCCAGCAGGGGATGGATGTGGACCTCAGACGGTTCAGTATTTGCAAAGACAGCCCTTGACATGTCTCAGCACTTCATGAGTGGTCTGTGCACTCTGGCCATGGGGACTCACCTTTGACCTGTGACCCTACAACTACAGCTGAGTCTCCCCTCCCCCAGTGTACCTTTATACCTCTCAATGTGTCCTTTTTTGTCACCCAGAGGCTAAAAGATGAGTGGTTACTGGTGGTGACAACAGGAACTACTAAAATGGGCACCTTGGAGAACTTTCCTCCTTCCCTTCTGCGTCAGACAGACCTAAAACACTCCCTCATGCTGCTTTGCAGACCCCGCAGGCACTTGCTGTGGGGAAGCTTGCTTCCTCTCCATTCTACAGGCTGGGAGCCTCACATCCAGGTGTCAGCAGGCTTGGCTCCTCCCTGGGGCTTGCAGATTCCAGTCCTGGGGCAGAGCCCCAATGGCCTAACTACATCTTTAAAGACCCACCCTTTAAACAGGGATCTGAGATCCTGGAACTGAAGACCTCAGCACATGAATTTGGGGATGAGACAGTTTGCCCATGACAAATCCGTGTCTCCCCTGCTGCCAGCTGGCTCATTGCAGCCAGCTGAATCTGTTATGGGCTTGAGTTGCAAATCTCCATGAAAACTAGGGGAAAACAACTCTGGCCAGAAGTGCTCCAGAGACAGCATAAGAGGGAACAAAAACCTGCTTCTCATCAAAGCCCATCAGCTTGAATTCTTGTTGGGAAACTGGAGGCTCAATGAAGAAGGCGGGTGGTGGGGAGGGTCTCGGGGGAGAGTCCTCGGAAAATTCCAGAGCCCGTGTTCCTGGCTTTCACTTTGTCTCATTTTCAGAAAAACAGACAGTGTTCCTCTTCTGCTGCTGTGTTCCTGACCAGATAATGTTTCTTGTTCCTGAGCTGATAATGTTTCTCCCTGCTACCACCTAGACAAGAAACAAGAGATGAGGGTGGAGGGAAGAAGAAAGAAAAAAAAAATCGTTTTTTCTTAGCTTAAGTGGGTCAGCTTTCGGGGAAGCAGGAGTTGGGGTGGAAGATATTCAGGAATGTGGAGGAGGTTTGAGGATACAGAGTGATGAGGAAGGCCTGCAGGCATTGTATTGTAAGAAAAGAGCTGCCTGTGCTCAGGCGTGAAGAAAACACTGGTGCCAAGTCTCCAGGAAGGGTTACCACCTCACTCCCCTCTGCTCCCTGTTGTCCTTGCTTAGAGGTCACAGGTCATAGACTTAATAGGATGACTGAGATACATATGGGGCTGTAACACATGCTTGGATATCCCTGAGCATGATGGCAGAGCCTGGCTGTGAAGACTGAGCTCTCTGGCCCTGAGAGAGCTCATAAACCTGTGCTGCCCCTTCCTATAGAACTGTGGAAAACCGGAGATTGAGCTTGGCAGGGATGAATGTGGGGAGTCTGGCTGCCTGAGCTGGAGGTGTCTCTAGAGGGAGTCACAGCTGGCTGTTTCCTTTTTTTGTTTGTTTTTCTTCCTTTTCTGTTTTTGTTTGTTTTCCTTCCTCCCTCTTTTCTTCCTTCATCCATCCCTCCCTTTCTTCCTTCCTTTCTTCCTTTTTTTTTTTCTGAGACAGGGTTTTTCTGTGTAGCTCTGGCTTTCCTGGAACTCACTCTGTAGACCAGGCTGGTCTCAGATTCAGAGATCTGCCTGCCTCTGCCTCTCAAGTGCTCTGATTAAAGTGTGCCACCACTTCCAGGCTGGCTGAGTGTTTCAACCCAGATACCAAAAGCCCAAGTAGGGCCTCCCTCTGCAGGATGACAGTCCTTTCCTGTTCCACCTTTTCAGTCCCGGCTCTCAAAGCTAAGGGACCACCCCTGCAAATTTCACATGAGTTTGCAAGCCTCACCTGTGCTTACTGGTGGTGATTTCTGCTTCGGTTTCCTGTGCTCCAGGAAGGCTGAAGGGCTGGACCCCAACCAGAATAAGCCATTTAGTGTGTCCTAGTACAGTCCCAAGCCTAACATCACACTGACCGTAAGATTCCCTTGCTGTCTCTATCCCCAGCCC